CCTCACACCATGCACAAAAACCAACTCAAAATGGATTAAAGAACTAGACATAAGACCTGAAACCATAAAATACGTAGAAGTAAATATAGGCGAAACACTACATGACATGAACCTCAAAGACATCTTTACAGATGCATCGTCCAAAGCAGTGATAGTGAAGGCAAAGATAAACAGCTGGGACTACATCAAATTAAAGAGCTTCTGCTCAGCAAAAGGGACAAAAACCAAAACAAAGAGAAACAACACTGAGTGGGAGAAAATATTTGCACCCAACACTAATGAAAAAGGACTGATCACAAAAATTTTCAAAGAGCTGATGAGACTCAACAAAATCAAGGAAAATAATCCAGTCAAAAAATGGGCAGAAGAGCTCAAAAGAAACTTCTCCAAAGAGGAAATGCAAACGACCAACAGACATATGAAAAAAATGTTCAACATCACTTGCAATCATGGAAATGCAAATCAAAACTACCATGAGATACCATCTCACACCAGTGAGAATAACACATATTGAAAAAACTAGCAACAGCAAATGTTGGCGAGGGTGTGGAGAAAAAGGAACTCTCCTGCACTGTTGGTGGGAGTGCAAACTGGTCCAACCGCTATGGAGAGCTGTGTGGAGATTCCTCAACCTACTAAACATAGAGCTTCCATAGGATCCAGCAATTCCACCCCTAGGTATTTACCCAAAGGACATAGAAACAACAATTCCAAAGATCACCTGCACCCCTATGTTTATAGCAGCACTGTTTACAATAGCTAAGCTATGGAAACAACCCAAATGCCCAAAAATAGATGACTGGAACAAGAAGATGTGGTACATACACACCATAGAATATTACTCATCAATCAAAAAAGATAAACTCATGCCATTTGCAGCAACGTGGATGGAGCTGGAAGGGATCATGCTCAGCGAAATAAGCCAGAAAGAAAAAGAAAAATACCGGATGGTCTCACTCATAGCAGGAATCTAGAAAACCTAAATAAGGGACCAGGAAAAAGAATACATTGGGGAGGCGCCCGAGAGTGAGGTGGGGCGCCCCTGAGCTGCAGGTGGGGTAACTGCATGGAGGCGCCCGAGACGGAGGTGGGGCACCCCCGAACTGCAGGTCGGGTAACTGCGGGGAGGCACCCGAGAGGGAGGTGTGGCTCCCCAGAGCTTCCCGTGTCTCCTGGCCGGATCCCTGAACCAGAAGGCTTGGGCTTCTTCACCTCCTAGGAGTCTGAGTTTCAACTGGAGTTTTCCCACTGCCTGGAGTCTGCCTTCTTCCCTTCCTTGTCTCACCCCATTATTCTTTCATTCTTCATATAGCCGGGGTCTCTGACCCAAAACCAGATCCCCTCTTTACCTAAAACCACTTTCATTTACTTTGAAACACTTGTCTCATTTGGTGATCAGACACTAATTTCTCTTGCATATTTGTGAGTATCCTACTGAAGTCTCTCTCAACCACTACAAGCTTCATAAGAACATGAACAACACAGGGATCTGCTTATTGTGATTACCCAGTGCCTGAAATAGGAGTTGTCCTATTTCTTGAATAAAAGACTGACAGCCCAAGCACCATAACAGAAAGCACACATGCTTCAGAGCTGAACAGATCTGAGTCTAATGTATCATTTTGTCACATCTCACCTGTTAGATCATAGCAAATTACATAATATTTTAAAGTCTGTTGACTCCTCTATGAAGTGGGGACAATGACTTTGAAAAACAAGAGTTCCTATCAGAATTGACATTTTAGACAATTGAAACAGGGAGAGTAGGGCCACCTGCCAGAGCAGAAATCCAGGAGATAATGTATTACATGTACTTGCTAATACCTAACTCTTTAAGATCTCATTTTACAAAATCAACAAAACAATCCTACCCATAAAAACAAATGGATACAATAGGTCTTATGTCTCAGCTAATTTCCAACCTTTCCCCCTAAAAGCACGACAACAGTTCAAATGTAATGAGAGAGTTACAGGCGCTGAGAATAAATGGCATTTTTAAATAAAATAATTCTGAGAGACACTAACAAACTCCCCTGTCAGAAGATCCAGGCACTTCCCCTTCTTGCTCCTGGGGAATTTCATTCTGGTTTTCCTCACTCACTCCCCTACTGCCTCCACAAGGCCCTTCCCCACGTGCCAGGCCCAGGAGGGTGCAAAGGGATGGCGGTGACTTTCCAGCTGCCTGTGGACGGGGCTCATCCGTGGCTCTGACAGATGGGGCCAACCCAGAACCCTGCGGGGTCAGGGAGGTGATGGGGCTGAGGGGGGACCAGGTCCTGCTTGCAGAGCCTCCTGGGCCCCCTGACACACCCTGACTCAGGAGGCTCATTCCCAGGGCACCGCCAAGAAGCCCCTGGGGACAGGACACCTAGGCCCGGCGAGGTCCTTGAGGAGGGGTGTGGACTCCTCAGGGCCCGGAGGCCGTGGGAGACAGAGACAGCAAGCCCTGTGGCCCATGTGAGGAGTCAGTGATCCGGAGGCCTGGACCCTGGACGTCAGAGGCCAGCACAGCAGAGGGCAGTGGGTGACCCGGCCATCGAGAGGGCGTGAGTTTTGTGGGAAGCAACTTCTGGGCCTGTGGGCGCCTCAAGCCAGACTGAACGTGTTGGTCAAATAAGGTGGAGAAGTTCCCCTTATAATTAAATGTTTTATATTCACTTTTTATCTCTATATGTTTCATTTAACTGCATTTCAAAGTGTCAGCATTTCAATATGAACAACTGAAATTATTTTTTGTCCTCCCAATGGTAACTTTATTTTTTTCTCTTTTGAGGTAACATGTTTTACATCCCAGTATCATTTCACAATGCATTCTGTATTTCAGAATAACAGTAGTTAAAATATTCATCTTATAAATTACAATTAATACATTCTAAAGGTGTACAAATAGTTCCGTTCCAGAGTGCCATATTGTTCTGGGATAGTTTCTAAGAGAAAAAATACATTTTTTTTTTAATTTTCAGGTGGTATATTTGAGAATTCTTGTATCAAAACTATGATATTTCAGCATTTAGAACTCTGAGTTGAAAGTGTTTTAAGTGTTTAATAAAATAACATGTAATGGGGGCCTCCCAGATGGTGCAAGGGGTTAAGTCTCAGCACTGTGAAACTATCCACAGCCACTGCAACAAGAATTCGATGCCCGGCCAGGGAGAGACCTCTCCTGTCTCCCCACTGCTCCCCTCAGGAGTGGGTTTCAGTACATCTGCTTGTTCTGCTCCCCACTCTGTCTCTGGTGAATCCTCTCACCCCCCATACCTCTGGCCAAAATCCCAGCTCTTGTATGCAAAAATAAATTGATTTTAAAAAATCACATTTAATGGAATTATTTAAGAAGTAGTAAAGAAGATACTTAAGAGGAAATTTAAAATAATACTAATTATTTAAAAATGGAAAACTACACACATTCATCCCTAAACTATTATGAAAAGTAGGTGAGTCAGACAGAAATTCATGACCTTTTCCCATGGTCTATGTTGATCTTTCTATTTCCTTCACGATATAATGATAGAACATCTGGAAATCTGTCTATTAAAGACGTGATATTGTTTTTATTTTTAACTCCACACAGCAACAGAAAAATAGAAAATCTATTTCATACAATATAAATATAAATACATATTATAAATCACTGAATAAGTTTTTAATAGGATACAACAGGTTCAAAATATATTTTTTCATGTTTTCATTAAAATAGCTAGAATTGTTTCTCTAATCTCTTACATTTATATCAACACAGTCTCCTAAAAATCCTACAATAACTGGAAAAAATATTTCATCATTACAAATATTATTCTAAACCACTCAAGATGTGTCTCCATCTATGACCACTTGATATTTTCATTTATCTTCTACTTTCTATTAAATTATTTAATTTTTGTCCACCATTGTATTTCCATGAGTGTATTCCCCACATTCCCCTTAAAAGTCCTGCCTCCCCAGGGCCTGCCCCTCCTTCACCCCACAGAGCGGGGAGAGGGTGAGATTGGGGAGGAGGAGAAAGGGCAGGGCTGCCCCGTGTCCAGATGTCCCCACTCACGCACGGGCCTGGGGTGTGAACAAACCTGCACCTGGGGGACCCAGGACCCTGGGACCGGCAGGGACAGCCACACACACAGACCGTCCGGCTCAGCGGGGGAGCAGCCTCCTCCCTGCACAGATGTGCATGAGTCTGAGGGGGACAGAGAGGCCGGGAGGGACCCGGAGTGGACCAGCTCATCCTGCAGGAGGGACGTGTGGGTCTGACCCAGGAGGAGACTCTGCAGGAAACTTGGCCTTTGGGTCCTCAGTTGTGGGGAGTCAGGGGCAGGGACATGAGGAGATGAGGAGACGGACCAGGAGGCAGCAGTGAGGCCACAGGGGCAGGAATCCAACAGAGGAGTCATCAGGACACACCGCACGGTGAACCCGAGCCCATATCACTCAGTTCCAGGACAGTGTCGGGTCCTGGGAGCAGGAAAACAGTGACCCGCAAACCCCATCTCCCTGCACACCCATCCCTGTGGGGCCTCCCCAGACCAGGGCTGTACTGGGGGAGCAGGGACAGGCTCTCCAGGGTGGGGAGGGGCTGGGCATGGTCACTGGTCCTCTGGGGCTGTGCCCTGGACAACCACTGGGGGGTGTGCTGGGCGGAAACTCTGGGGCCTGGGCAGGAGGGGGGAGCAGTGGAACTGGGGAGGGGAGGTGGCAGTTTTGTAAGTTAGGTTTGTTGAAAGAGAGAGAAGATTCTAATTTGTTCATGTTTTGTAGTGGTGAGTTTAAATTTTATTCTTCACCTATTGTTGGGGCATGTTTGGACAGTGTATTAATGGCGCATTCACATTACATGGAAATAAATGGGCAGGATGAAACAGGATACACAGATGATTGTGTTAGACTCCACAGTACCTCAAAGGAATAATTGTGTAGAAAAGAGATAGAATTATTATCTTATATTTATAATGCATTATATTTTCAACATTGGAAGAATTAAGGCTTTATTTTTCCTCATTTTTATACAGATGACGTCTACAGGGGTGACCAATCTCACGGCCGTGACAGAATTTGTCCTCCTGGGTTTCCCCACCCAGGGGACCATGACTTCTTGCACCTGCTGCTCTTCTCCCTGGTCTACCTGTGCACCTTGCTGGGAAACGGGCTCATCCTCGTCATTACGACCTGGATGGGCACCTCCGCACCCCCATGTACTTCTTCATGAGGGGTCTGTCCCTCACGGACCTCTGTCTCATCTCAGGCACTATCCGCAAGTCCATTGCCAACTCTCTGAGGCACAGCAACTCCATCTCCTTCCTGGGCTGTGTCCTCCAGTTCTTCATGCTGGTTGTTTCAGGAGGTACAGAGCTTCACCTGCTCACAGTGATGAGCCTTGACCACTATGCTGCCATCTGCCACCCCCTGCACTATGGCATCATCATGAGCAGGGACAGGTGTGTGCAGCTGACAGCTGTGTCCTGGATGGGTGGGGCTCTCGATGCTGTGATGCACACAGCTGGAACCTTCTCCTTGTCCTACTGTGGGTCCAACATGCTCCACCAGTTCTTCTGTGAGATCCCCCAGTTACTGGTTATTTCCTTCTCTGAAAATCTGATGAGCGAAATTGTCCCCATTCTCATTAGTGTGACATTGGATGTGGGTTGTTTGACTTTTGTCATTTCCTATGTCCACATCTTCTCTGCTGTCAGCAAGATCCCATCCACAGAAGGGAAGGCCAAGGCCTACTCCACCTGCCTTCCCCACCTGCTGGTTTTGGTGCTGTTTCTGTCCACTGGGCTCTTTGCTTATCTGAAGCCGACCTCAGAGACTCCCTCCATATCTGACCTGGTCATTTCTATGTTCTACACGGTGGTGCCCCCCACCTTTAACCCTTTCATATACAGTCTGAGGAACCAAGCCATGAAGTCGGCTATGGGGAGACTGATAAATTGCCAATATTCCAAGATATGAGATATCACAATTTATAATTATAACCCATGATTAGTTTTCCCTCTGACTCTAGATGTCGTTATTTATAAAGTACAGATTTCTTGCATTACAATTTTTCCTTTTCCAGAAATATATATTCTCATGTTCTTCCATAAGTTTAGTTTCCTAAATACTGCTTTCATTTGACAAACCTCAAACTGTGTGATGTTCATAAACTGAACTCCCACTCATCATTGAAAACAATGTATGTGGCTTAGAAAGAATGTTCTAGAACTCACACATCACCAACTTAACAAAAAGTGAAGCAGTGGTAAATGTGGACTGTCTTCGTGAGCAGATGTTGAAAGGACCCCAGGCCTGGGCACTCGATACCCCCAGCCCATGTGTATCTCCACTGAGGGTTCCGCCTATGTGGATGGGATGGGAGACAGAGAGTGAAGCCTCCCATCCCTCATGATTCTTAATGTGGCGTCTTCCTCTAGGAGAAGTTTATGTTTCTGCTCAAAGGACAAAGGAAAACACACTTGACTCTGCCAAAGATGGAAGGATGGAAGGTTACTTAGTAGGAATCTATGAGTGAATCCTGGAATTGATGGAATGTTAATTTCTATGATGCCATTTTGATGCCAATGTGACTACATTCCTTTGATGTGCTGTTTTCAAAAATAAAGTTATATGAATTATCTTTGAAGAACTATATTTCTACTTAAAAATTTATAATTTTTAATTCATTGTGTTTATTTTTAGGTTCCTTAATATTCCAGATTGTATCTTGATCCTCTACCAGGTCTTCCTCTCGACCTTCTTGTAGATTAAACTAAAGTTCATTTTTCCTCTACTTTAGGAACTATGTTTAATTATGTACAACATCATGGAAAATAAAGCACGACAATATTTGTTAATTCTACACATGTGCACTGCATGTGCGGATGTTCTCATATTGTTTTCCTAACACTGAGATCATGAGCTGGGCATGATGTTCTTGCTCTCAAGCACTTTTTCTGGGAGCAGGTCACTGTGTCTCAAACTCTCCTGACTAATTATCACATATTTGTCCATGAAAATATTTCTTATGATGATATATGTACTTAACCACAAGACCTGACTGTCCATTCAAATTTGAGAATAAAACATGAGATAGAAAATCACTCACAGCAGCTCCATCTTGTTACTGGGCTGTGTCATCCAGGTTTTTGTGATTGTTATGTCAGCAGGTACAGAGATGCACCTCCTCATGGTTATGAGCCTTGACCACTTTGCTGCCATCTGACACCCCCTGCACTATGACATCATCATGAACAAGGACAAGTGTGTGCAGCTGACAGCTGTGTCCTGGCTGAGTGGGGGGTCTATTGGCTGTGATACGCACAGCCAGAACGTTCTCCTTGTCCTACTGCAGGTCCAAAGTTGTCCACCACTTGTTTTGTGACATGCCCCAGTTAATGGCTATTTCCTGCTCAGGAAATTTGATGAGTGAACTTTTCCTCATTCTTATCAGTGTGATCTTGAGTATCTGCTGTTTTGTTTTTAATTGTCATTTCCCATGTCCATATCTTCTCTGCTGTCAGGAAGATCCCATCCAGAGAAGGTCAGTCCAAAGTCTACTCCACCTGCCTTCCCCACCTGCTGGTTGTGGTGCTGTTTCTGTCTACTGGGCTCTTTGCTTATCTGAAGCCGACCTCAGAGACTCCGTCCATGTCTGACCTGGTCATTTCTATGTTCTACACGGTGGTGCCCCCCACCTTTAATCCACTCATATACATTCTGAGGAACCAAGCAATGAATTCGGCTGTGGGGAGACTGATGAAGGGCCATTTCACTAGCAAGTAAAGCTCGGCCTTCTTTTCCTCAGCCACAGTGATTGTCTGCAAGTGCACGCCCGTGTCCTCCAGCCAGACACATGTGGTTGTTTCACGGGGACACCAATTCCTCTTTGTACCCCATGTCCTTCCCTCCCTTCTCAGAGTCCTCAGGAGGTTGTTCCCCAAGACTATTAACAGTGTTTCCCTGCTCAAATGCCTGTTCTCTGCCCCCCCCACCAAGTGTGTGTGTCCATGTAAGACCTGCTTTGTTGTGTGTAATTCTCAAATCACCTCTTTTAACAGGACTCTGATATCGCACTGTCCATGCCCGTGGACAGTATGTGCCACCATCCTGTGCCACCACTTGCCACCATGTGGATGTGCCACCATCTGGTCCTAGTCCCATGGGCCAAGTGGGGCTGCTGTGGATGATGCTGCCATGATGATCGCAGAGCCGTGGGAGAGTCCTGCTCTGCCCGTTCCCACGTGTGACCTGCTGCTGGAATCCGTCCTGCATTTTTTAAGGAAATGTGGGGTGCTCTGTGTAAAGTTTCACTGTCCCTGTCCACTAGCAGTACAATGGGGCCCTTTCTCCACACCCTCTACTGCCTCTGGGCCCCTATGGAGTGGCTGTTATCGGGGTTTTGGGTGTCTCCTTGTCTCAATCTGCCTGTCTCCTGTGTGCAGTGGGGCAGCTTATTACTCCATAAAATCCGGGTTCCACAGGGGCAGCTGCCCCCTCCCACAGGCAGCCCAGTCCAGACAGGGCGGAGGGCTGGTGTCCTGCCTCAGTCAAGCACTAATTATCCTTTGCCCAAATCCCAGGGGGTCATCATCAGACCTGGATCAGTGACCGTGGCCCGGGCTCTGGCTTCCTCCATGGCTGAGCAGCCCGGCCCATTGCCCCACGGGAGCTGTGACCCGGGAACTCTGGCACAGCTGGTTGGGGTTTTAGGGAACAAGAGAGAAAGGCTCAGGGAGGTCTGGGACACGAGTCAGTCAGGTCCACTCTCAGCCTCGCATACACAGCAGTGCTGCCTGTTCACTGCAACAGACATAGGGCTGGGGTAGACGCTGCATCCTGGGTAGGTCGGATCAGGGCCCAGGCAAACCCCAGGGCCCCAATGGCTGTGGGTACATGGCCGGTTGGGAAACCGATGTTGGTGTGTGGCCTCAGCACGGGCGGGCCCAGAAGAGGGTGGTGAGGCTGTCAGAGGGTCCAGGGGCAGGGGCTGTGGCAGGGCCTAGGGAGCAGCACCCCCAAGCACCCTCAAGCTGGGATGACCCCCCCCAACCATGGTCACCCCGGGGCTCTGGCTCTGTTTCCCTCATGGCGGAGCCATATTGCTGGGCAGTTGGCATGGCCTGGCAGATGCTGCAGAGACTGGCAGGACCATAGGTGGGCCCTGGGACTGTACTGCGTCTCTTTCAGCAGTACCCCCTGTTGTCTGTGAGTGTGCATGGGGAGCTGGAAAGACTGTGAGCATGGGGAGAGTCACACCCTGGAGAGGGAACCCCCACTCTGCTGTGTCAGAGCCCGAGACACAGACCACCCCGCGGACATGCCGACTGCGCCGTCTCGGGACTGACCCACATTGGTAGATAAACACAAACCTCTGTCACAAACACAACAGTTCAAATGTAGTGACAGATTTATAGCTGCTGAAAATAAATGGCATTTTTAAATAAACAAATTCCGAGAGACACAAACAAATTCTCATGTCAGAAGATTCAGGTGCTTCCCCTTTTGGCTCTTGGGGAATTTCTTCCTGGTTTTCCTCCCTCGCTCCCTCTCCTGTCTCCACCACTGCCCCATCACCCTCTCCCACCTCCCCCATGAAGGACACACAGTGGGTGATGGTGACTTTCCAGCTCCCTATGGACATGGCTCATCCATGGCTCTGACCACCAAGTCCCCACGGCAGTCAGGGGAGGGGATGGGGCCTGTGGGGGAACCAGGTCCAGTCCTCCCTGGGTAAAAACTAAGGAATCGCCTCTGGCACACTCAGTGCTCTAATTGTTCAGTGGCGGTTATTTGAGGTTGAGGCCAATTAAGCAGATGAATGGGAGAGAGCATGGCCCACCTCCCTGGGGATGACCTGGGTGGGGCTCTCGGACAGAGAGCACCTGGGGGACCAGCAGGAAGATCAAAGCTCTTCAGTCCCCTGCCCTGGAGTCAGACTCGTGACTGCCCCGAGTTTTCTGAGGCCTCAGAGCCGGCGTCACGGCCGCACAACTGGGATCTGTCATCTCCTCTGTGCACACCACTTGCTGGCTTCACAGGAAGCAAAATTTATAAGACAACTTTCCTCCACGGGCTGCGGGGGTTGTGCTGGCATGTGTCCGTGAAAGTCACTTGGGTTAGGGGACGGTGCTAAGTCACAGAAGCCAGAGTTGGAAGAGACCCAGAGGCCCTCCGGGGCGGCCTGGAGCCAAACGTAGAGCTGACCCAGTAACAGACGTGCCGGGAAGGACCACAGGCGCAGGGGACGGGAAAGCAGATAAGGCCAGGTGAGGTCTGTGGTGCTGGGGTGATGGGTGTGGAGACGCCGCAGCTGGCGGGCTGACCCCCAGGCCATGTTCACCCTGTCAAGCGATGTTACCTCAGCGATGAAAACATTACAATTTTTAAAAATCCATAGGTTTTAGGGCCTCCCTGGTGGTGCAGCGGCTGAGCACATGGCTGCGAAGCTGCCAACAGCCTTTGCAGTGATGGTTTGATCCCCGGCCCTGGCGAGGGTCGCACATGGCGTGCAGACCTCTCTTGCCGTGCCTGCTGCTGCCCTAAGTAGAGTCCTCCGTCAGTCTGCCTGTTCTGTTTCCTGCTCTGGCTCTGGTGAATTCTCTCACCCTCCAATGCTTCTGACTGTACCCAGTGCTTGTATAAATAAATAAATAAATAAATAAATAAATAAATACCCATAGGTTTTAAAAATTCTAGATTTGAGAACAAAATAGAAATTGTTCATTTTGCAATAAAATTAGTAATATCAAAAGGGGTATTTTTATTGCCTGTTGTAGAAATTCTGCAGTTTTCTTTTTTTTTTTAGATTTATCTATGCACACAAGAACAGGGGTACAGGCCAGAGGTAGAGGGGTGAGAGGATCCACCAGAGACAGAGAGGGGAACAGAACAGGCAGACTGACTGAAATACACTGCTGAGGGGAGCAGCGGGGAAACAGGAGAGGTCTGCTGTGCCATGGGGTTAGCTCCCTGGCTGGGGATCGAACTCATGCTGCAGTGGCTGTGGACAGCTTCACAGTGCTGTGCTTAACCCCTTGCACCACTAGGGAGGCCCAGAAATTGTGCAGTTTTCAATGCCAACTGTTGGGAGCAGTTTCAGTGAAGAAAATAGTTTTTTCTCTCTTTAAATGAAGTTGTAGCTCTGATTGTGATTTTAATAGTTTTGAACCATTACTGAGTACATATAACAATCATCTGGTTCTATAGCTGCCCGAGTATATTAATGACATAACTGAGTTGGATGGAAATTCAAGAGTATTGAGACAATGTCTGATGACTTGAGACCTTTCATGTTATGGTAAATATCGATTCTGTAGAGACGAGAACAGCCAGTTCAGTGTCTTCTTAATCTCCTAGTAAAATCTCAGAGCTTTGAGCCCCTCTGCATGGGGTTTTGCAGACAGCAGGCAGGGACGTGTCGCGTGGGGCAGGTAGAGCAGCTTCTGGCAAAGGGTGCTGCTCACCGGGGCTTGCTGACATTGGATTCCTGGATGGCGGGCCATGGGCGGGCTTGGCACAGCCGGGAAGGAGGGACAGTCACAGGCAGACCCAGTCCTCTAGTCGTTCAATTTATTGGAAAATATGGGAGGGTATTTCTAGGTCTTGTTCCCACTGTAAGTTGAAATTTCAAAT